TACTAGTAATTTAACAGTAATAACTTAATAGATAAGGGTGTTTTTTGATAGTCTTCCCACTATAACAAACCAACTCGTAAAGTTTCAATTCAGTAGGCGTATAGCTTAAATTGATTTGGAAATCATGCAAATCATCGGTCGCTCTGAAGTACTCGGATTTCCGAGTGTCTGACGGGGAGCGCAAGCGCGGCTTCAGATGAGCCCTATGTCGGACATTTGGAGACTGACGAATCTCGTGGTACGAGGACAGAAAGGAATGTAAGGGGAATTTGTGGCATTTCAGGGGACCAAACGGTAATTGAGTCTTTTACTGTCGAAGTTAGGACGTTTTAATGAGAGTTCATTGTGGTTTCAGACTTGCCCTTCCTCTTCCCACTTCATCTACTGACCTGTAGTGAGTCATCCGTCTACCACCGAAATTCAGACTGAACTGCTCATTTTAATGAAATGCCATTTGGGAAATTAATGGTCCAATGTGGGTGCTTTCTCAAAATTGTCCTGACTCGACGACTATCATGAAATTCCATCGCAATTTGTCACCCTTATGATGTCGAACGTCTCTGTGTGGGTCCATTGGGGACGCACATTGTCCCAACGATTAGTCAACCGCCGCCATCGTCCTTTCCATAGTTGGTTGGTGGAATTAAATATGAAGAATGCCCTCGGGTGGTCCATTGGGGACGCACATTGTCCCAACGATTAGTCAACCGCCGCCATCGTCCTTTCCATAGTTGGTTGGTGGAATTAAATATGAAGAATGCCCTAGGGTCCATTGGGGACGCACATTGTCCCAACGATTAGTCAACCGCCGCCATCGTCCTTTCCATAGTTGGTTGGTGGAATTAAATATGAAGAATGCCCTAGGGTATTTGGAAATTCCGACGCTTAAGATAAACTGCCATGAACGTCTACTGTAGTCTAATGAGGCTTCCAAAGGAAAGCTTCCCTCACGGAGGGACTGGCATAAGTTCAAAGGGCATAGATACTGTAGAGTCATCCACCTCTGGGAAACCTAGGTGGTTTTTGACGTCATATGGTATGGCTCATGGCCAATTCAATCGTTTTATTGTGCAAATTCCAAATCATAATAGCAGTCTAAACTAATTACTGCCCGATACCAGTAATTAGTACAATTAGTCATGGGGGTGCGAAAATTACCCGCATCCGTTCGGGCGGACCACGTGGACATCTCGAATTACCGTAAACAAAAAAGAGGACGCACATACATACAGACATCTGGACAGACAAAAACGACGCCATCAGGTCGTCTGCGATTTTTTCCCGCTCATGAAAGTGGGGGACTATTTCGGTGATGAACTTATACAGATTCAGGCGCATGTGGGGAACATTAGGGCAGAGAAGTACGGTTTTAGTCGAGCCCTCTCCTAAAAAAACCTGTACTTAAAGAGTGACTTTATGTGGGGAACATTAGGGCAGAGAAGTACGGTTTTAGTCGAGCCCTCTCCTAAAAAAACCTGTACTTAAAGAGTGACTTTTTTTCGACTTTTTTCAAGCTTAACTTCGAGGTATTCATACTCCTGCGTACTCGTGGAGCCCTGTATGTTAACCAGCTTATTGATAGTACCTTGGTACCTTAAACTCGCCCTTGAACTTGGTCACCCACTCTTTCTGGGAGCGCTCAAAGTATTTTAATGTCTAATTTCTGAAAGTACTATTTCATCGAGGAAATTGCTGACGTTGTCTACGGGCGACTTTCATTCCAGCTGATTAGCTACTAAGAGGCTCACGATAGTAGACGCTATCGGTCCATAAGCTCATGAATGCTTAACCAAAGAACCACCTCTAACAGTCTTTTTTGTGAGTCTCGTGAAGTCCGGGTCCGGGTTCTAAACTCATCGTATCATCTGAGCGTTTCACCTATAACTAAGCCTCTCTGAATCAGCAGTTCATCCGCTTTTTCTCTGAATTGACAGGTAACGTGAAAAAGTATGGATAGCAGCTGACGGGAAACGCTATACGATTGTTTATAGGCGACCGATTCCTTGACGAGATACGACGTAGTGAGATGATGATGAGCTCGATTATTAAACAACTCATAGGCTACTTGTGCTCTCCGATTACTGAGAAAGAGAAGACGAAGATGATGTCGTGGCAAGTGTGGCAGACCATCATAGTCGCATGATCCGGAATCCAATCCCAAATAGTTAACCGCACAGGCCAAGCAGACGTTCCATACCTACGGGGTCGTTGAATGGTACTAGATTCGTCTAGGAGGGTGAAAGCATTGACTTGAACTTCGGCTGGCTACGTCTTGTGATTGTATAGGTTATACCCACATTCAAACGCCACCACAATGTCGAATTGAAGTAGAATGCGAGGTGCGTCTAAAAAACAGGATTGGCCATTGTCACAAAAAAAATTCTCATATTATAATGCCTATACTACTACTAATATCAATATAATTATATAAAAACTCCAAGTTGCTCAAATTCGGCTCTCTGCGATTTCCCTCATTTTCCTCTCAGTAAAAATTTCAGTATTAATTTAGTTATCAACCGGGATTAGCAACCACGAGTCATTTGTTTGGTTCGCCACCGCCCTCTTCGGAGCCCTAAAATGCCACTTCAGAAAAGAAGTCGTTTGAAAACTTACTACCCACAAAAACATCTTTATAG